ATCTACGCCAACTTGTCGGGCTACCAACGTCACTGCACAGGCATTAAACATTATGTAACTGACATTTGAGTTTACAAAAATGTATGGTTATAAATAGTTTTTAACATACCCACCTTTTTTCTGACTTCAGTGTACTGTAAAATACTTTATTTTAGCTGGAATTAATTTTCGCTGAAAATACTTTTTGTGTGTTTTGTATGGAATTTATTTTCACTGATTTTTGACAAGTTGAATGTGAAATATAGGAAAAAAGGTATATTCGCTGGATTTTTGTTTTCACTGAAATATTCCTTCAGCGAAAATAACGAAAATTAATTCCAAGTGAAAATAAAGTATTCTTAATACAATTCATAACAATAAATTCTCTTTTTCATTCTCTAGGTAAATATGGGATGGGTGAATTAGTTCTATGTTTGCCCGGTGGTGTTGGTAAGCCAATACAGCACAAATCAGAGGTAGTTGTTGCCATTATACATTGTCTACATCGCTTAGTTGTACACCATATAGACAATGCAAGGGCACTCAGGAATCTTAATGGAGTGGACAAACTAATTAATATATCAGCCTCCTGGGGGAAGTACAGTGTGGCTGAAATCGCAGCCGCATCGCAGGTAACTTTTTTTTGTGGTCTTATCTTAAATGTGAAATGGCAAAAGTTTATTTATTGTGTACAACAAATTGCATTAAGCATTAATTTTTATCGAGGATACTTCAAAGTATGCACAAAGATAGTACAGCGGAATTATCGACTGACGCGCAGCGAAGGTCAGTGCGACGGTGTACTGTCTGAGTGTTTAGAAAATGTTTAGAACAGAATCAGCAAACTTCCTTGTGTGGAGTCCAGTCAAACCCTGGTGGCAGTCATGTTTGTTTTTATTATTAGAGGATGCTTATGTGCGTAATCATTCTATATACGGGATTTGCATTTTCTAATATGGTGAAATAGCCCTTAAAATACCGCAAAATTATTATTATGTACTGCAGCTAAACTGTGATATATACATAATTTATGAATTCTTCATCTAATCTAATGTTGTTTCAGGTTTTGATAAGTCTTTGGACTTTCAAGAAACTTAGACCAGTGTTCAAGAAAGATGGCTGGAATAGCCAATATTTCCATCCACACCAACACTCCCAGGCACAGGCAAGAACTGTAATAAACTCTGAGGACGAGTGCATCAAGTGCAATACATGCTCCTCAGAGAGAGAAAATATCGAACAGGATCAAGTCAGCGAACTCCCCCAGTTTAAACGAACTAGCATGGTGCAGCGTATTTTGGACAGTGACGATAATGCCACTGTCATGACAGATACCACCACGACGGAGAACGGAATAATGCGGGAAACAGAATATATGACAGAGTCTGTAACCACGGAAAACGGAAGTGCATCTGTATACATGGAACAGTTGAGGTTGCTGAGGCAAGAGAATGAAGACTATCGATGGCAGATGAGACACTTACGCAAAGAACTAGACAGAGTTTCATTTCACAATGTAGAACTTATGCAACACATTTCAAAACTGGAAGACAAAATGAAAAAGGTTGAGCAATTCCAGGCAGCATCAATGAATAATCACTTTGCTCACAGACATAAGATGCCTCCTAATGTTCCACCTGTTCTAAACACTTGATTCTTTTCGTTTTGAGACAAGTTTTCTGTTTTACAGTGGGCACAAACATGATTCATTCGAGGAGTTAGCAAACTCCCTAGGAAAGTCCCTAATTTTATAAAAATGATTTGCTACTTTTTGTGACAATATCACTTTCCCTAATGCAACTTGATTTTGGACTAATTAATTTTTGTATAGGTATGTACTATGGCGAAGTTGTCTGTTTTTATAATGCAACATTGTTTTGTCCATACAAATGAAATATTCAGAACAAATCTTATTTGCAGTCATTTCAACCATCTAGGGGAAGATGAAGGGGTTATTGGAATATTGAGAAGGACTTCCCAGGGAAGCTGCAAGTGGCTTGTATGAAATCTCATTTGTATTCGCTGTAATTATCATCATTGTATAATTGTTCACAACATTACTGATGGACAAATGATGAAGTGATTGAACAGATATAATTCCTAGCTACTATGTAGCTATAAAACACAAAATACATCATATCAACACATCACATCCGCAACAACAATGTCAACATGGCTTCGTGGTTAATTAAAAAATATCAAAAATATTAAATGTCCACTATTATAAATTGAGACAGTGTGGTGCCACATACCAACATTTATGACTCAGAAAAAGTTTTCAACATTTACCATAGTGGGTTTTTACTGTAAAATAATTTATTTTAGCTGTAACTAATACATCTGTACTGTTTTGTATGAAGTTCATTTTCACTGATTTTTGATGAATTGAATGTAAAATATAGAAAAAAGGTATTTTCACTGGATTTATTTTTACTGATAAAGTACCTAATACCGGTAGTACTACATCATGGCACTGCTAAGATTAATATTCCATTTAAAATAACACTGTTGCTTTGATTGGTCAATATATGGTCACATGATCATTGATATTAATATCTCAACTGGATGAAGCTACATTATTTAACCAGTAAATGTGTTATTTTAAATTTTCCGGGTTATCTGATTTACAACAACCACTTTGCACTACCAATGTCTCATTGACCTTAGCTATTGCCAATCTTATTAAAATCTGATGTACCATTAGGTATTTTTTTAATGTTATTTTTGTTTATTCATGACTATTTTCTGGTTTTGCTTACTGGTGATTTATAAAAAAGTAGAACCCCCAAAAAATCATAAATAAAAACAAAACTATAAACATTAAATTTTATTCAGATTGGGGTCTTGCCACCATTATTATTTATTGCTCCTGGATTACTCATATTTCCCCAGCATACAGCAACAATTTGGGAGGGCAAATCATCCTCAGCCAAAACAATTGTACTTCAGAATATGATACACAGATAAGATTTGCTATGCCTTGTAACATATTGCCTGTGGTGATTGGTATGACTTTGATGCATTAAACAAAAATGGGACACTTCATGACACAACCACTTTTCATGAGGGGTATGACGGTAAAAATGAAATTATATAAGAAGTTATTTTGCAGTAACTGCATAATACGGTATACTCCAAGACAGTACAGTGAGAGTATCAATGAAGGTATAGGGCTGGTTGATGTGACTGTATACTATTGTAATCTAAACTTTCACTGTGGTGTCTTCAGAATTACCTTCTTACACCTCATAGTTTCCAATCCAAACACTTGGTATGTGAAGCTCAGGGTAAGTATTTCAGTTTTTCAATGTAAACAAATAACCCATGTGTTATACTGTAAAATTAAATCAAACGTTTGATGTGTATGTTCAACGCCATTATACGTTTCTTCTTCCTTGAAACAGTCTTTTGCATCATTGATATTGTTTTTATCTATTAAACTAACTGTTTATAACTAACACTGCTGAAATTGTTCCTTGGAATAGTACAATGTACCAATGAAATTTAAAAGAAAGATATCAGCTTAAACCCTTCAAGTGCTAGATATTTTTTCTCTGCAAAAATTGTGTGCAAAGATTTTCACATTTTGTAAAATTGTCACTAAATTTCATCTTCCTTTTGCAACATACCGGTACTCACAGTTTAGATATTTTTTTTCAGTTTTTGATCAAAAGATTTGTAAATTTTAATCAACATTTCATGTGAAAAGGTGCAGACTATACAAAATCATTTTGTTAAAGGTGCTGAAAGTTGACAATGGCACTCAAAATCTTAATGTGTACCCCTTTTTGAGTGTCCAACAACAATGGCACAATTATATTTTGGTCTGAAATACGTCTTTTTTAAAATAATGTTGGGGGTGGGGGTGGTGGACTAGAGTGTGCCATAAGGGGAGAGGAGACTGGAATAACATTGGGTTGTTGTCATAATAATAACATATTACAACTTGGTGGTTTTATTCAAGTTTCATCATACTTGGCGATAATTGTTTTAAACACATTTACAAAGGTGGTATAAACAATCTTCATGGATTTATAAATAACTCATTTCCAAATTATTATTTTATAAAAACATATTTAATAAAATAAATAATATTGAAAAAATATTAGCTTTGTATTGTGTTATGTAAATTCTGAATGTGTATAAAACAAGACGAGATAAAAACGAAAGTATCTATGTTTATGCACTGCAGAGGGTGTTTATTGAACAATTTATTGTCCCATTTCACAAGTTATGGTTACTTGATTGGGGTTATTAAATACTGGGAAAACATTGTTTAATGCACTATGTTAGTGGAAATCAACCTCATTATCAAAATAACGTGTTTTGCTCCCAAACAGATGATAGACATTTCAGCAAAATTCTCAACATTTTGAGCATTTCCATAAAAGCTTTCGATACTATGCATAGTCAATATGCTGCATTACTTTCTATCACGGAAACATTTGTTACTACACAGACAAATCCAACATTTTCAGATAAATTTCTATCCTTCCAAGGGACACCTCTTCAAGCCTTCCACAACACTTTTTGGGCATTTCCAGAGAACTTTTCAGCCCTGACAAACATTTATACACTTTTTCTAGACAACTTCCTTGTGTTCCCAATATTTTTCTAGTAAATGTCTGCCTTACCATCACACTGTATTTCTAATCATTATGCCGAATACTCAAACAACAATTCAATTTTTTTAGTAGCTCTATTACAATATCTCCTGACAACTGTCCTTATTTCGTAAGTTTCTCATGACAGAATGTTTTCTCCACATTTTAGGATGACTTTCCTTGCCTTCCTTAAAACTGTCGAGGCTTCCTGAAAACCTTTTCCAAGGCAACATTATTTGCATTCCCTGGTAGCTTTAGGGAATTCACAAAATGCTTTCCCTTCCTTCGTCTTACCTTCTCAGTCTTCTGTCCCACAATTTGTTTTTCCAACTTTCCATTCTTCTCTGACAACTTTTCTGCCATCTCAAGCAATTTGCCTGCTTTAAATATCCACTGCCCTTTCAAACAACATTCTTGCCTAAGCAGACAGTTTGTCTCCTTTTGTGGAATGTTTCAGCCTAACAGGAAACGTTCATGACATCCAACCTTAATAATTGAAATTCATTGGGCTCACGGTTAAACCTAAATTTCCAGTCAACTTTTCCCTCATCCTTATAATTCCCCCCTTTCATAAAACTTTATCCCTTACCCACAACTTCCTCTTCCCATACACACTCCCCAGCCATACAACTTTTACCCCACATGAAAATAATTCCATTCACAGAATTTCCCACACGACTTTTTTCTTTCCATACAACTTTTATATCTACTTCCATACAACCTTATCCCTTTTGATAACACTTTATTCCTTTCCACATAGCCTTATCTTTTTCCACACAACTTTATCCTCTCTGACACAACTTTATTCCTTTTCATACAATTTTATCACCTTCCACACAACTTTATCCCTTTCCATACAACTTTATCCCTTTGCACAAAGCATTATCTTTTTCCACACAACTGTATCCTCTTCCATACAACTTTATCCCTTTCCATACAACTTTATCCCTTTCCACAAAGCATTATCTTTTTCCATACAACTGTATCCTCTTCTGTACAACTGTATCCTCTTCTGTACAACTGTATCCTCTTCTGTACAACTCTATCCCTTTTCGTACAACTTTATTCCCTCTCATACAACCTTATCCCTTTTCATACAATTTTATCACCTTCCACACAACTTTATCCCTTTCCATACAACTGTATCCTCTTCTGTACAACTGTATCCTCTTCTGTACAACTCTATCCCTTTTCGTACAACTTTATTCCCTCTCATACAACCTTATCCCTTTTCATACAATGTTATCACCTTCCACACAACTTTATCCCTTTCCATACAACTGTATCCTCTTCTGTACAACTCTATCCCTTTTCGTACAACTTTATTCCCTCTCATACAACCTTATCCCTTTTCATACAATTTTATCACCTTCCACACAACTTTATCCCTTTCCATACAACTGTATCCTCTTCTGTACAACTGTATCCTCTTCTGAACAACTCTATCCCCTTTCGTACAACTTTATTCCCTCTCATACAACCTTATCCCTTTTCATACAATTTTATCACCTTCCACACAACTTTATCCCTTTCCATACAACTGTATCCTCTTCTGTACAACTGTATCCCCTCTGATACAACCTTATCCCTTTTCATACAATTTTATCACCTTCCACACAACTTTATCCCTTTCCATACAACTGTATCCTCTTCTGTACAACTGTATCCTCTTCTGAACAACTCTATCCCCTTTCGTACAACTTTATTCCCTCTCATACAACCTTATCCCTTTTCATACAATTTTATCACCTTCCACACAACTTTATCGCTTTCCATACAACTGTATCCTCTTCTGTACAACTTTATCCTCTTCCATACAACTTTATCCCTTTCATACAACTTTATCCCCTCTGCTACAACCTTATCCCTTTTCATACAATGTTATCATCTTCCATACAACTTTATCCTCTTCCATACAACTGTATCCTCTTCTGTACAACTCTATCCCTGTTCATACAACTTTATCCCCACTCATAAAACCTTATCCCTTTTCATACAACTTTATCCTCTCTGATACAACCTTATCCCTTTTCATACAATTTTATCACCT